TTTATCAGAAGGATAACATTGTATGGTACTATTTTAACTCTTATGTGGAAATGTGTTTATGAACAACAAAGGAAGTCAAATTCTACTTTTTTACTACTATTTAACATCTACTAAAACGCTACAATACTCATACTTTATCATTTTAAAACATTTTAACAGTAGTTCAGTCTCCCAGACTAAAAAGTCTAAGTTTTTGTCTGTCAGATGTCTGAATACTTAACATGTATATTGCATTTGTTCACAGTTGTGGTTCTGGTTGTAGCAATAGCATCTGCAATAGACGGTTTTTCATTGGCTGGTTCTTGTTCTGCAAATGTCTGTGTCCAAAAGATCATCAGATGTCCAGAAGCTAGAGACAAACAAAAACAAAAGAAAGAATCATGAGTATCTGTCTCATTTAGCACTCATCAATGTATGATTTTAAAAATATAAACATCACTCCCCAGTTTTTTCTCTCAGATCCTCAGGTCCTCAGGGTCCCCTGAGGGTGAGTCTCAGTCGTCATCAGGTCAGGTCATATGTCGAGAGATGTCATCTTGGACATCAGTACGGTCCAAGCCATGGTTTTGGTCTCTCCAGGTACATCGGATCTTCAGATACAGTCTTTTCACTTGAAGCGCACATCAGGTCATCTGCAATGCACTTCTGGTCAATGGTGCAGTGTCACAGTTCCTGTACACAGCTTGTTATGCAATAGTTACTCTCTATGGTTAAGTCACTTTGATTCTAATCCTAATCAATGTAATTACTTCACACAGCACAAAATCTACTAATCAAAAGTGTCAGGACAGAGGTCAATTAAGTCCATGACAATATAGAATTCAAATGAACATTTCTGGTCTCAAAAAATACAGATTCAAATAAAGACTCAAGTGATTAAGACAATTAAAAATATTTGTTTACATTGGAGTAAACTTTTAAAATGCTTTTTTCTCATGTTCTGCTTTTTCATGTATCTATATGTAAATGTGAATTTGTGAGTGCGTGTGTGTGTGTGTGTGTGTGTGTATGTGTGTGTGTATGTAGGGTGTGAATTTTGGGGTTGTGTCTCCAGACTCCTCGAACCACCTGTAGGTGTCAAAGGTCACACTGTGGTGATGTAAACCAACTGGACACACTCTCAACTCTCATCCAGGTCTCTGCCTGATGCTTCACCCATCACGTCTACAGAGACCTCTCTCTACCCCGGTCTCTCTCACACCCACTCAGTTCTGGAGTGGCGTGGGGAGGGGCAAGGAGGTGGCATTTTCCTTTGCTCTTTGATCTGTGACCTGTGGCTGGGAGGGCTTTGCTGTCCAGTGTCCACTCCTGCTGTCCAGTGACCCTGTACAGTGTGTGCCCTTGGTTCTGGAAAACAACCTTTTAGTCAAATTAAAAACAACAGCTATCAGTATGTGAATGAGATTGTTTTTCTCCCTAAAGTCTAAACAATTTTGGAGCGCTCTGGGTTTTTCAACATGCGCTATGTAAATAAAGATTACTTATTATCTTACTACTAATGACATTTTAAGACCAGAAACTAAAGAAGTTATCAAAACAACAATTATACTCAAAACAAACAACCTTTTAAACTTTAAAAAATGTGTACTTTTGTACTGTGTGTTTAATTATCTATGCGTTCTTGGGTTTCACTTTATGGACTTTCCCTTTTACACTTGAACATTTATCTCAGCATATATTCTACTAATTTAAAATAATTGCAGCATTTTTCAAATGAAGTCAATATGAATTGAAGCACATTTCAGATCAGGCTCCTCTGCTGTGTGCATCAGCAGGAGCAACAAGGTCAGGCGTGTAGTCAAAACAAAAAAATCACCGCTTGCAATGTGAATTGGGTGAATTGGGTAGAGTTCAACTTAATAATATAATACTTTTACAGCTAATCCTAATTCCCTCTTTCTTTTTAGACGAAGTCTATAATCAATAATCACTTTTAACACAGATTCTAATTTAAATGTTTGAAAAACGGCTTTTGTAACTAAATATAAAAATACATGAAAACATTCTCACAAACAGCTATGAAATATATCAGAGATACAATAATGGACTCAAAAAATAAGCAGCAGATTTAAAAAGAAAAGCAAAGCTTTTTTGTACTAATCTTTGGGTTTCAAAAACATACAATGTTCAAAACTTATTCACTAATGGTGTTTAAAAACGTTTAACTGTGTCATAACACAATGTTCAATTGCAAATTTAGCAAATTTAAAAACTTAATAAAAGCCAAAATCCTAAACGCAGGTTTGTTCTGATTCAGAGCCAGAGCAGCGAAGGAGGGGGCCGTTTCCCCTGACAACGGCAGCAAGATAGAGCTGTGCACACACACAGGCAGAAAGTAGTGTTTTAGCAAAAATGCAACAAAAAAAAGAAGAAGAACTTTCAAGATTACTTTTTTAAGCAAATATAACTGATGTTGTTCTTTACACTTTTATCATCCAAGTCTAGAAATGGCCACTTTCCACACTTGTAACAAAAGGCACTCTTTAGTGTTTAACATTTCCCTTTTTATAATTACTTTTAATTTTACACCATGGTTTCACTAACTATTTTCTATTCTCTATTCTCTGCCCCGGCTACTCCAAAGGGCAGGGACCCCGCTACATCAAGGGGTTCCTTTTTCTCTCTGTCCTGACTACTTCAAAGGACAGGGACCCCGATACGTCAGGGGTTCCTTTTTCTCTCTGCCCTGACTACTTCAAAGGGCAGGGACCCCGATACGTCAGGGGTTCCTTTTTCTCTCTGTCCTGACTACTTCAAAGGACAGGGACCCCGATACGTCAAGGGTTCCTTTTTCTCTCTGTCCTGACTACTTCAAAGGACAGGGACCCCGATACGTCACGGGTACCTTTTTCACTCTGTCCTGACTACTTCAAAGGACAGGGACCCCGATACGTCAACGGGTTCTTTTTTTCCTATAGGGACTGGTTACCCACACAGCTAACCTGTTTTCTACAACATAAGACATGACAAAGACGTGACAAAGACAAAACAAAGAAAATTTGATTTAGAGAGATTTGGACAGACCTCTGGGACAGCTCAAAATTTAGCTTGTATCCAATTATGCAGACTTTACATATTAAAAAATGTGTCTGCTTACCTTATTTTCTTTGTCCGGACTGTTCGAGAGGTTGACCAACATCTTTTCCGCGTCGGAATATTCAATTAAAAAAACAAAAGTGACAGAAGCGACAAGAAGCATCCAGGAACAGCTCTTCCAGCCTGCTGGAATCTCCGCTCCCAGACACAGCATGCCGGTCTCTCACGCCGAGGAAAAGAAACAAAGCAAACTTCCTCAAAACAATCCAGAGAATGGCGCACACTGAGCCGCACATCCTCCACCAAATCTGTCAGGGATGAAGCAGACAGAGACGGATCGTGGTGCGCCAAACTCTGGAAGTTTATTTACGTTTCTCTCAAGTTCCAGTGGTTTCCCTTGCTTCTTTCTCTCAGACAGAATAAAGTGAGTACACAGTTTATATAGTCATTGTTACGTCACACATCGAAAGACGTACGTGTCACACAGAGACAGTCACATCATAGTCAAAACATGGAGTCATCTTCAGAGTCCTTGTACAGTCCTGCACGTAGGCCATATTGCTATCTAATACTAACACTACTAACAGCTACATTCACCCCTGTCCTCAGTAAACTCCCGGAGGCCGAGAGAGCGCTCTCAGGCCTCCGGGAGAGCGGCTCTGAACACGGCCAGTCACTGCATTCACCGCTGAGCTGGTCGAAACACACGAGTTTTATAAGATAATACAGTCGAATGTGTACACGTTCTTAACACACTTCTTTAGCTATATACCTTTATAAAAATGAACGTGTCTTAACACTTACCGTACATTCAAAAGAGTCCTCTCTTCACGTTCCACGAGACCGCACCGTCGACTTAAGGCAAAGTATTTTGTTGCGTTTTGCACATGCGCGACATGCGCATTCAGTTTCACAAAACAAGTTTTGTGAAGTTCCCAAGTTTTGGTTGTGTAAAGAGAGTGATGATAACACCGGCTGTTTTATGGCATTTGTGTGTGTGTGCATATACTACTTTGAACCGAGAATATAACACATATTTTCAGTTGGTTCATACTTTTTCTTTTAGGTATGTACATAATTCCACATGAGTTAATTCAGTTTTGATGCCTTCAGTGTGAATCTACAATGTTCATAGTCATGAATAAAAATAAAAAATCCAAACTTTTGGTCTGTACTGTACATACTGTGAGATTTCATAACACTTTTAAGCAACTTTTGTTAAAGTTAAACTCATCATTCTATCAATGTGCGAAGCCAGTACTTTTCCCTTGTTTTGACTTCTGAAGGCCAAGCTACATGGCACCGTGGAAGCTGCTGATTGGAGGACTTCATTCTCCCATGCTATATTATCACTAACAGTTTGTTACATCCTTTGTTCGTGTGCTTTGTTCGTGCTGTCTCTACCATTGACAATAAAACATGTCTTCTGTCGGAATGAAAGACGCGATCCCAGACTTTGTCATCTTCTTCGATACATCTATCCTTTGATGAGCACTTAAACTTTCAACATGTCTTTTGTCCTATTGGATTTATTTAATTGATTTTGACATGACAAGCAATAACTGGTGTGTGTGTGTGTGTGTGTGTGTGTGTGTGTGTGTGTGTGTAAACAGTTTGAGCATTTACAAAATCCGGGTCTTCAGTGTGCAGACCTGATCCATGCTGCAGACCCCTCAACCCTGATTTGCATTTGTATAGCTCACAGCATTCACATTTACATGTTACATTTACGAGACGAGGGAGGAGGGGACAACAAACTACCGTGAACAGCCGAATCCCAGAAGTTTCATAGTAATATACAAGGCCGAAAAGAGACGAAAATCACACTTTTCATGCATTGATCATCAAGATCCTTCTTATTATAATGGTGAATAATCATTGATTATTAAGGTCCATAATCATTGATTATTAAGGTGAATAATCATTGATTATTAAGGTGAATAATCATTAAGAATGTATTTTACCTGTGAGTGACTTGTGGAGTTTGTTCATGATGCGATAAGAGACGAAGCGGTCGAGGAGACGACTCATCGCAGGCAACGGGTCCAGGACCATGGTCTGAGGATGACCACTCACATAGTCCTGCGCACACACACACCCACACACACAATACACACACACATACAATACACCATGGTGTGAGGATGACCACTCACATAGTCCTGCACACACACACACAATACACGCACACACAGTACACACACACACAATACACGCACACACACAGTACACACACACACAATACACCATGGTGTGAGGATGACCACTCACATAGTCCCGCACACACACAATAACGCACACACAGTACACACACACACACAATACACGCACACAAAGTACACACACACACACAATACACGCACACACAGTACACACACACACAATACACCATGGTGTGAGAATGACTACTCACATAGTCCTGCAAACACCATACACACACACACAAACACACAATACACACTCTCTCTCACACACACACACACAATGCCACCTAATGTTATACTGTAGTAAATATCTCCATTGTGAGATCATTATAATTATTATTTATTTTAAACTAAAACATATTGACGTAACAGGAGGGTCTTGTTGGACAGTTAGTGTCCAACAGAAAGGATTGGTGATGATCCAGGACACTTTAACATTCAACAACATGTATGGAAAAAAAAATCTGTGTGTGCTTTATATTTTTTATGTGTTTTAACTGCATAAGTCCTCTGAGATGACTTCTGTTGTGACTTAGGGCTATACAAGAATAAATTGTATTGTAATGTATTGTATTGATTATAGCTCTGCTTTTAATTGTCTTGTCCCAAGCATATTGGTTGAAAAACTAATGTCCCTTGGTCTGAATGTTGCCATGTGTAAATGGATTTTTAGCTTTTTAACTGACAGATCTCAGAGAGTAAAAATCAATGACTGTTTTTCTGATGTTGTTTCTGTGAGCACTGGTTCTCTTCAGGGATGTATTTTGAGTCCTCTGCTCTTTACTTTGTACACTCACGATTGTGTGTCCTCCTCTGACTCTAACTTGATCATCAAATATGCTGATCATCGGTCTCATCAGTGACACTTGTTAGGATTCAGCAGACAGAGACGGATCGTGGTGCACCAAACTCTGGAAGTTTATTTAAGTTTCTCTCAAGTTCCACGGGTTTACTTTGTTTCTTTCTCTCAGACAGAATAAAGGCAGTACACAGTTTATATAGTCATTGTCACGTCACACATCGAAAGACATACGTGTCACAAAGAGACAGTCACATCATAGTCATAACATGGAGTCCTTGTAGAGTCCTTGTACAGTCCTGCACGTAGGCCATATTGCTATCTAATACTAACACCCCCCCCTTTGATCACATAATCACATGTGATCACTCAATTTGATCAATCAATAAAGTGGAAAAAGAAAAAAAAAAATTCTAAAAAAAAAAAGTTTTACTTTTTAAAAAAATTATCATTAAAACTCATAATCATCCAAATCAATATCAGTGGATTTTATCCTCTATCCTGGGAAAAAATAAACAAAAATAAAGTAAATAAACAAATAAAAAATAAAAACAAACAAACACTATTGGACACACAAGAACTCAGCAGATTCAGTCAAAACACAGACAAAAACGAGCTGAGTCTCAAATTAGAAGCTAATTTCACTTTTACTACTCTATACTTTTATTCTAATGCTAATTGTTTACACTTCATCTTAGACTGTGTACTTTCTAATCTATTTACTATAGTTTAAAACTATTCTAATCTATTCACAAATATGTTTGCATATTTGCTTCTATTGAGCCATATTCTTAAACATATATTTTAATCTAATAAATCTCTCTGTGGTATTACACTCTCATTATCAGTGGCATATTGTTAGTGGGATTTTGCTCTATATCTATTCTCATTCTCAGGAATAAAACTGTCAACACAGTAAGACAAATGGTTAACATTTACATTATTATGGCGGTCAGTTTTCCAAATATTTGTTGAACCAGGAAGTGCTGTCACTTCCTCCTCTCAGGCAGTTTGGTCAATAATCAAATTAGTATTATCCCTACAAGAGCTAATCTATTTTAGCAGGTTTGGGGTTGGGGTCAGTTATTCTACAATGGTGTTTGTGCTGGAAACTTCTCAATATCTAAATATCTACTTTTTGTTTTTGTGCTATACACAAATACATCAAAATGCTTTTAAATGCTTTTGAATCTCTGTTGGTTATAATCTATCTCATTAATCTAGGCATTAATCTAGGCTACACTCATTAACTTTTTGCATTGTCAACATTCACTCATGTGTGAACACAAGTGAATTTGGCAAGTATCTAATAAAACTGTACATAAACTGTAATTAACTTTATCTACTTCTGAAGTAAATGTTTGTGAAATGGTCCCTTTACCATTTGATATTAGCACTGGCTAAGAATATTCTCTATTTTATGGTTGATGCATTTATCTATTTCTATTTTTACACTATTGTGACTCTAAAGCTCGGTTGCAGCTTGAGCCAAGGCATATTTCTAGTTTGTGACGTCTGTCACTTTTAATATCTCTAAAATAACTCTGATTCTAATATTTTAGCTGCTCTATCAGAAGGATAACATTGTATGGTACTATTTTAAGTCTTACGTGGAAATATGTTTATGAACAACAAAGGAAGTCAAATTCTACTTTTTTACTACTATTTAACATCTACTAAAACACTACAATACTCATAATTTATCATTTTCAAACATTTTAACAGTTGCTCAGTCTACCAGACTAAAAAAGTCAAAGTTTTTGTCTGTCAGATGTCTGAATACTTAACATGTATATTGCATTTGGTCACAGGTTCTGGTTGTAGCAATAGCATCGGCAATAGACGTTTTTTCATTGGCTGGTTCTTGTTCTGCAAATGGCTGTGTCCAATAGATCATCAGATGTCCAGAAGCTAGGGACAAACAAAAACAAAAGAAAGAATCATGAGTATCTCTCTCATTTAGCACTCATCAATGTATGATTTTAAAATATATAAACATCACTCCCCAGTTTTCCTCTCTCAGGTCCTCAGGTCCTCAGGTCCTCAGGGTCCTCTGAGGGTGAGGTTAGGTCTCAGTCGTCATCAGGTCAGGTCATATTTCGAGAGATGTCATCTTGGACATCAGTAGGGTCCAAGCCATGGTTTTGGTCTCTCCAGATGCACATCAGGATCTCCAGATACAGTCTTTTCACTTGAAGCACATCAGGTCATTTGCGATGCACTTCTGGTCAATGGTGCAGTGTCTCAGTTCCTGTACACAGCTTGTTATGCAATAGTTACTTTCTATGGTTAAGTCACTTTGATTCTAATTCAACACAATTTCTATTCATGCTGTTGCTAATGTCACTCAGACAAAAAGCAAGCGCAATGATTCAGTTTACTTCTCTAATTTGTGTTTTTATCAGATCTAATTCTAATCAATGTAATTACTTCACACAGTACAAAATCAACAAATCAAAAGTGTCAGGACAGAGGTCAATTATGTCCATGACAATATAGAATTCAAATGAACATTTCTGGTCTCAAAAAATACTGATTCAAGTGATAGACAATTAAAAATATGTGTTTACATTGGAGTAAACTTTTAAAATGCTTTTTTCTCATGTTCTGCTTTTTCATGTATCTATATGTAAATGTGAATGTGTGAGTGTGTGTGTGTGTGTGTGTGTGTGTGTGTGTGTGTGTATGTAGTGTGTGAATTTTGGGGTTGTGTCTCCAGACTCCTCGAACCACCTGTAGGTCTCAAAGGTCACACTGTGGTGATGTAACCACGTGGACACACTTTCAACTGCCTCTAGGTCTCTACCTGAGGCCTCCACCCATCACTGCCTCCAGAAACCTCCACTTTCATGGCCCCGGTCTCTCTCACACCCACTCAGCTCTGGAGTGGCGTGGGGAGGGGCAAGGAGGTGGCATTTCCCTTTGCTCTTTGATCTGTGACCTGTGGCTGGGTGGGCTTTGGTGTCCAGTGTCCACTCCAGCAGTCCAGTGACCCTGTACAGTGTGTGCCCTTGGTCCTGGAACACAACCTTATAGTCAAATTAAAAACAACAGAGATTGTGAATGAGATTGTTTTTCTCTCTAGTCTAAACAATTTTGGAGCGCTCTGGGCTTTCCAAGCGCTATGTAAATAAAGATAACTTATTATCTTACTAATGATGACACTTTTAAGACCAGAAACTCTCAATATAAAAAAAACAAGACTCAAATCTAAAAAAACCTTCAAACTTTAAAATATGTATTATGTACTTTTGTACTGTGTGTTTAATTATCTTGAACATTTATCTCAGCATATATTTTACTAGTTTAAAATAATTGCAGCATTTTCAAATTAAGTCAATATGAATTGGAGCACATTTTAGAGCCAGTCTCCTCTGCTGTGGCATCAGCAGGAGCAACAAGGTCAGGTGCATAGTCAAAACAAAAACAGTCACCGCTTGAATGTGAATTGGGTAGTTTAACTTAATAATATAATACTTTTACAGCTAATCCTAATTCCCTCTTTCTTTTTAGACGAAGTCTATAATCAATAATCACTTTTAACACAGATTCTAATTTAAATGTTTGAAAAACGGCTTTTGTAACTAAAATAAAAACATAAAAACAAACACAACTCACAAAAAGTTAAGAAATAAGCAGCAAATTTAAAAGAATGGAATCTAGAAATATGTTAGGTCTAAAAAGAATTGCACAGCTTTAGCACTAATCTTTGGGTTTCAAAAAACATATAATATTCAAAACTTATTCACTAATGGTGTTTAAAAACGTTTCACTGTGTCATAACACAATGTTCAATTGCAAATTTCGCAAATTTAACGGAATAACAACTATGAAAAGCCAAAAATCCTAAAAGCAGTAGCTTTGCTCTGATTCAGAGCCAGAGCAGCGAAGGAGGGGGCCGTTTTCCCTGACAACGGCAGCAAGATAGAGCACAGGCAGAAAGCAGTGCTTTAGCAAAAATGCAAAAACAGAAAGAAGAAGAACTTTCAAGATTACTTTTTAAAGCGAATATAACTGATGTTGTTCTT